TTCTTGAACTTAAGATCCTCCTGCCTTAGCCTCCTGAGCTGCTTGGGATTACAGGCATGTGCCACCATGTCCAGCTGCTAAATTAAGTATTTAGAAACAAAAATTAGCCCATGATTAGAATTCGCTGAGGAAATGAGTTCAGTAGTTCTTGGAAAACTGGTTGCTACTTGACTTTTGGACACTGAGAAAAACACCTATTGAACTTGGCATCCTAGCCATCTGGGGAAAGGATACCTGATTATTAGAGTTTCACTGGGGTTGATGAATCTGCTTTTAGCTTTCCAGCAACTGCCATTCTGGCTTTATTTATTTATTTATTTTAGTTGTAGTTGGAAACAATACCTTTATTTTATTTATTTATTTTTATGTGGTGCTGAGGATCAAACTCAGTACCTCACAGGTGCTAGGCAAATGCTCTACTGCTGATCCACAACCCTGGCCCTGCTATGCTGCCTTTTGATCATAAGAATAGCATGCTAAAAAAGAAGGAAATAGTAAACAGGGTCCAGCAGGAAAGAATTCCCAGAAATAGAAAGAGTTGTAGTTGATGGGATGTTGAGCCACTTTCCTCTGGTTTTGAGACACACTGCTGAGATTGGACATGCCACCCAAGTCAAGATATAGTCAGACCCTCACCTCCACTCCTGAGCACAGTGTTCTACTCCAAGCTTGTAGAATGCAGGTAGGAAACTAAGGCTGGCAGAAGGCAATGGGATAACTCCTGACAAGGAACAAACACATGGAGACACTTATGAGACAAGCTGTCAATCAGTCCTTCTTAGCCAGTTGTCTTCTGTATGACTGGACAATTAGACAGTGCATGCCTGCAATGGGGAAGTAGCAGTTCATGGTTACATGAAAAGCTCTCCAGCAAGAGAGGATCTGGTGGAGTGGGGAGCACCTGAGCTCTGGGGTCCACTGCTGGGTCAGCCACTGAACTTCAAGCCTGCTTCTTCATCTGAAAATTAAGGTAATACCCCCACCTGGTAAGGTTGTAGCCCGATCAAAGGAGACACCACCTGTAAAGCATCGGCATAGGGCAAAACCTGGCACAAAGTCAGGTTCAATGAATGGGAAGGTATGCTCTGATTGTCAGCAAGCCCTCTTGACATGAATTATAAATACTTAAGGAGCAAGCTAACATGGGTTTTGATGCATTTTAAAGTAATATCGATGGGAAGATGGCCAGGAGCACAAAGGCTCTGATAAAAAGACATCACAGCTGCCCAAGGGGATGTGTGCCTATTAGCTAATATATTAGAAAGTACTCTGCTAGCCTCGGTGGCATGGTTTCTCCAGGACCTTGCAGTTCTCAGAGAGCATGAACACAGATGCCCTCTTCCTCACCTTGCCTTTTAGCAGAACTTACTACCTTATGTGCAAGTGATGGCAAGCAGGGGATGGAGCACTTGTTACTGGAGGAGCATGGTTCTGCCTGATCTTGCATGGAAGTAATCCTAAAACCAAAGTGATCAAGGGTTACTCAGGACTATGGAGAAGTGGGAAAATGTCTGGCAGGGGAAGCAGATGGCACATGTCCTAGAACAAGCCTTGAGACTGTGGCCAAGTCATTTAACATCATGGGCCTTGGTTTAATTAACCTCCAAGTGGATAGAGTTGTACTGCTCAGTCTTCCTCCCTAAACTTGGAGGGGAACAATAAAACAATGGATTTGAAAACATTCTGAAAAATATGTAGTGCAGATCTATGGTTGGGGGCAGGGAAGTGAGCCATATTTTCAACAGTGACCTGAATGAGGTGATAGAGAAAAGACTGAGAACTTCAGGGTACACAAAAGGGGCTGGACCTTGGATGGGGACAGGAAGCAATGGTGGAATCAATACTTTGAAGGGCCAAGGACCAAGGGGTTCTCAGTGATGACAGGCCTGGATTATAAGAAGCTGTGTGTGGTAAGAGAATGTCTTCTTTAAGGCTTGGGTCAAGACCACAGACTTAGGGCTCAGACACCATCAGAGGAGCAGGGGAGCTTCCAGAGCCAAGGCAGCCTGGGGAGGAGGATAGCCATCTTTAGGATGTTGAAGCCAAATTTGACCTAATAGATCACCTTGAACAGATAATTTCCAACCCTTGAAAAACAGTTTTGTTTGTTTTATTTTTGTTTGGAACAGAGGTGGCTTCTGAGGTTTTATAGAGTTTGCAAATCTCTGGTCCAGCTTCATTATTTTAATGAGATGAGAATGGAACCGCAGAAAAGAGATGTGATCTTCTGAAGGTCACATAACAAAGTAGTCGCCAAGCTGCAACTGGAACGTAGGTTTTCTGTCCTATACCCTACCCCCCTGGGGCCTATAGGACATAATAGTGGGGATCCTGCTTAAACCAGAATGTAAGATGAGGAAAGCAGAATGTCATTGCATTTAAAAAGGCATAGAGAAGAGGAAGGAGATATGGCACTTATCAATAGCGGCCTCTGTGTAAGGAGACTGTGGGCAATTTCCCCCATGCTTCATTACATTCTTCATCCAACCAATATTTAACAGATCTCACATAAATATTTTTCAGAATTTCTACATTAACTATGTGTTATGTGGAAAACCATAAAGATGAAGTGAAAAATAAAATGAACATGGATAAAGGCTCTCTCCCTAGGTGGACATGGGTGATTGATTGTCTCTCTAGGAAGGGGCACTCAGGCCCAACCCACAATTCTAATTGTCCAGCCTTTCAACTGCATTTCCTTTTCCTGTGCACAGGACACATGGAAATCTCAGCTGCCTTGTGGAGGCTCCACAAGGCATTCTCCCACCTACCAGGAGCCTTCCTTCCCAGAAGAGACATGACCCTGGGGAAAAACAATACCAGGACCCTGAAGGGAGAACCAGGTGATCTCCTTAGGGCGCAGCTTTAAAGCCTGGCATCACTTCAGGAGCCTTCCTCAGGGTTGCTTTCCTCCAAGGGAAGGCATTTAAGGCCACTTCCCAGCCAATAAGTTCTGGAAAAGCTGAGAAGAGAACATAAAGACAGCAGGCCATTGGACACAGTATTCAGAAGAGCCTCCTAGCCAGAATGATCCACTCGACCCGCTTCCCGGACTTCCCAAGGTAGGATCTGTGATGAAGGGCTAGGATTCCTCTTTTCACCCTCTTCTCTAAAGTCTGAAGGAAGTCTGGGGCCAACCCAGTCCTCTTGTTCTCAGCCTGGACAAGCACCAGAGGTTCCACCACGTGGCGCCCAAAGCTTCCACAGGTTTAGGTGTAGTACTGGCCCACCCTACCCTCCTCTGACCAGCAGAGGGCGCGCACCACCCGCAAGAAGGAGAGGTCCCCAGCAAGCTCTGGCTGCGAGCAGCTAGCGCAGGAGCTGGTGATAGTGCGCTCTCTTAAAAAAAAAAAAAAAAACCGAGGAGGCGGATCCAGAGAAAAGATAGCCACAGCTATTGAGGGCAGCGAGTGGTCTGTAAGGGAGAATGAAAGAAGGTCGGGGTGAGAGATGGATAAGATGGGATGGTGGGAGAGGGAGGCAGGGAAAGTTATGAATATGGGAAGGGGATGGGATGGAGGGGCTGGTGGAAGGTTGAGATGGGATGGAGATAAGACAAGGTAGGATGGAAGCTAGGCGAGATGGGGGAATGTGGAATGTGTGGAAGTTGGGATGGGATGGGGTGAGTGAAAAGCAGGGTGAGAGGTGGAGGGTGCAGAAAGGGCCCACCACCCTGGGGCTCTTGCTCCCGGTTGGCAGCACCCAGGCTGCTGAGCTCTTCATTGAGGCCTTTCTGCTCTGGCCTGGGCTGAGCCTCTCCCTTCTTTCCCCCTGATTGAAGGGTCCTGGTGCAGCAAAGAACAGAGAAAGGAGGCAGCAGGGAGCTTGGGAGCTTTAATGGGGGCTGGAAGGAAATAGAAACACACTGGGCCCCCTCCAGCCAGATGTGGGCTCAGAACGAACGGGAACCACAAGTCTTGGGGATAGTGGACTTTACCAACCTTTTGCCCGGGTCGGGGAAGAAGGAATGTAAAAGGCCTCCAGGTGCTGGGATGAGGCAGCTCCGTGGGGAAGAGAAAAACAGAAGATTTGGAACTTAAAAGAGGGGTGGCGATGAAGGGGGCTTCTAGGAACCAGAGGTGCTGGTAGAGGAGAGAATAAGACAAGAGGCTCAGGCTTTTTAGGATCTAGAGACCTAGAAGAGAAAAATTAAAGGGAGGGTCACGGTCGGGGACAAGGGGTGAGGAGGGGCAAATCTATCATTTAAGGAGGACGAGGAGGCTTCGGAATCCTTCCCCCAGCCCGGAGCTGGTGCTGCAGGTGGAGTAAAATCTGGTTCAAGGAACGTCGGGGAAAGCTCCGGGCTCCCTCTTCGGGCTGTGGACAGATCTGGGCAAGGCTCTGGGCGAGTGGGAGAGGCTGCGCAGCACCCCGCCGCCCCGTCTAGTGGTAATGGCCTCCCAAATGCGAGGCTGCGGCCACCGCGCCGAAGGGCCCCGGTGGAGGTTGTAAGCCGGGACTGGGGTAGAGCGCGGCGGTGGCTGCGGCGGTGGCAGCCGGGTTCGGGCCGGGCCAGTAGGAGAATCCGGCGGGCGCGACGCCGGCCGAGGCGGCCATGAGGTTGAGTTTGGAGAGGCCGGGGAAGGGCAGCGGGGCGAGGCCTGCGGGCAGCTTGTAGAGCGCGCCGTCCTGGGCGGCGGCGGCGGCCGCGGCGGCGGCGGCGGCGGCGTGAGCGTGAGCGGGTGGCGGCTGGCAGGCCTGCGCAAGGCCCTGGAAGTCGAAGCGGTAAGCGTAGCGCTTGCCGTGCACCTTGCTCATGATGTTCTTGTCGTAGTAGTAGCGCAGGGCGCGGCTCAGCTTGTCGTAGTTCATGTTAGGCTTGCTCTTCCGCTCGCCCCAGCGCCGCGCCACCTCGTCGGGGTCTGTGAGCTTGAACTCGCCGTGGCCGCCCTCCCACGCGATGCAGCCGGCGTTCGCGCGGTCCGCCAGCAGCTCCAGCAGAAACTGCCACAGCTGAATCTGCCCGCTGCCTGTGGAGAAGGGGACCGTCAGCCTCGGGGTAGAGGGGAAGGCTGGAATTAGGGAAAGGACGGGGAGGGGGGACCCAGGGTCGGGGAGAAGGGGTCGTGTCCAGCGGTGCTGTCGCGTGCTGCCAGAGCGACTGGTCAGGGAAGGGCTGATGGGCCGATGGTCTCCAGCGGCTGTAGCGCTTTTGCAAAAATGGAAACACAGCTTTTACTCAGGAGGTGTAGCCCCCTGGGCGGATGGTTTGGGAGAGGAAAGAGAGGGGAAGACCCTTCTCCTCCTTTGGGAGGCAAGGGTGAACCAAGGCCCTTAGCCTTATAAGGCGAGCAAGGGCCAGATATCATTTCCTCCTCAGCTGGTCAGGGCAGAGCCTACACAACCACACCGGGCAGCCCTGCCGGGGTGGACTGCAGCATGTCAGCTGTGCTACGTCCAGAGATTCAGAGGGAAGGGCCAACAGGATGACCCCAGCCACTACTGTTCAAGGTCCAACCACACACCAGTGCCCGACACCCAAAGGCATACGATTAGACCCGGCCTGAGGTGTTGTGGTGGGCTTCCTTGAGACACCATGTCAGGCAGTAATGAGGACATAAATCTTGTATACTTGAGAGGAGGGGCAGACTCTAAGGCTCCCTATCCCAGCCCCCTTTAGGTAAGCAAAGCTCTGTGCTGACAGTGCTCACCCTTTGGTCTCCTTTTTCGGATCAGGCGGGACTCCCTGTGTGGGAAGGTGCCATAATCCCCTAGGGCCTAAGGGATAGCTCTGGGGAGGGGAGATAGGACAGAAAAGCTGTTGTACTAGGCCCCAGAGTCCTCCCATTCTTGGTCAGTTTGTCTCCAGATTTCTGGGTCCAGGAAGTGGCCAGAAGTTTTTCCCTGAAATTCTCCAGAATTTCCTTCTCTGTCTTGGGTCCTCAAACTTGAAAAATCTTGATACAAATCCTGCTTCCAATAAAGATATTGTGTCCAACTACAATTCAAAATAAATAAATAAATAAAAAGGGGGCTGGGGTTGTGGCTCAGCGGTAGAGCACTCCCCTTGCATGTGGAAGACCCTGGGTTCGATCCTCAGCACCACATAAAAATAAATAAGTGAAATAAAGATATTGTGTCCAACTACAATTCAAAATAAATTTAAAAAAAATCCTGCTCCCTTTTAGAATAAAATGGATTTTCCTCAAATTTGTTTGATTATTGCCTCAAATCCAGCCTGGTGAACCTTTCCTCCTTTTCAACCACTTGCTTTGATCCATCCCCAGGGCTTCCTTCACCTGCAACTTCAACCCCAATCCCTCCATGTCAATCCAGCAAGGAGATACCTGGCTCTGGGTGTGGCATTGAGTTTGGGGATCAGAAGCAATGGAAGGTTTGGGTTAAAATGTGCATCTGGCACCAATTGCTGAGCAACACCAGATATTTGGAAACCAGTCCCTGTTGGGCAGTAATGTCCCCTTCCTTGGGGGAAAAAGAGGCTGCCAACCTCCATTCTGTAGGTGCTGTAACTTGGTGAGATCTGGAATGCTGATGGGTGGGTGGGGTGGGGGAGAGAAGTTGCTTGGAGGACCAGCCTCAACTTGGTATTTTAGTGGTGGGGCAGCACCAACAGGCAAAAATGGGAGTCAACCACAATTGCACCCCCAGACTTGACCTGCAGAGATGCTGGTAAAGCAGGAAGCACCAGCAGGGTTTTGCATACCAGCAGCCCAGCCTGGAGGTGAAGTAATTCTCTGGGTCACCTTGCCAGGCTGTGCTCTGGGCTTGCCCTCCTGCTGCTGATAGCAGCCCTCAGGCCCTCAGGCCCGGTCCCCAAACCTGGAAAACTATATGCAACAGAAAAAGATCTGGGCAGCCAGGATACTTTCCACCTGCCATGGCTTACAAATAGTCCTAGGATTTAGAAAATGAAAAAGCCAAAGGCCAAAGGAATGTCTCCCTAAAGGCTTCCTTACATTCAGTCCAGGACTCCAAGCTTTACAGAACCCCAAATCCACATCGCTCCCACCCTGTCCGGTGGCAGTAGCAGCCGTTCTCTTGGGGTCCATGCCGAGTCCCCCAATCACTGCCCAGTATTCACTCCAACTGCCCAGTGCACTGGCCAGCTCACCTTTTTGCACCGCAGGGCTCAAAGGCCCCCAGCTCGGGCTCTTCCCTTCCTTGAAGAGACCGTCTCCGACGGGATCTGTGATAGCAGAAGAAAAGAGTCAGACGGACCCGGGCGGAAGTTGTGGACTTGACCGAAAGGGCCCGGGGCCAAGTCTCCAGCGTCTCTAGTGTTCTGGGGGCCCGGGCCACCCAGCTCCTCCTCCGGGAGCCCGGCCCCGGCGCGTGCCGCGCAGAGCCCCTCCGTAGCGCCCAAGTCAGGAAACGCGTCCAGGAAAAAGGAAATCCGTTTTCCGAAGGGGCCGGCTGGAGCCTTATAAAGCCGAGCGGGGATTGCGCCAACTGAGCTTGGGCGAGCGGAGCCCCTCGAAGAGAAGAGGAGGGCGCTTGAGGGTCTCGCGGGTGCGAACGTTTGGAGGACCAAGGTGAGGAGCCTTGAGGGCACAGGGGCGACTCCCTGCGTCCTCGCATGGCTAGAGCACAGAGTCCTCCACCACATGGAAGACCTCTGCTCCCCCACCAGGCTTTTCTGGGCCCCTGAACCCCCGGTCTCATCCTCCTAGGCTCTCAATCGGCTCACTTCGAATCCTCTAGACCCACACCGAAACCGCAGAGCTCTCTATCTACCTTTAAGGTTCCTTGCATGTCCTAAATTGCAATCGGTCCCCCACCCTGCAATCCGAGTGTCCAGATCGCATCCTTTTCGTTTGGACCCCACAATCCCCTTCCCCAATCCCTAGCCTAGACTTCCCGCCCAGGGTCCTGGTGCCTCCAGCCTTCGGCTGGTCCCTGGTACCTGGCAGGTACATGTTGATCAGCAGGGGCTGGGAGGCGCCGCTCTGTCTCATCGCTGCCGGGGACTGGGCGGTGGGAGATGGGGGGGCGGGGAAAGGGGGCGCGTCAGGCTTTGCGCTTCGGGGGCACCGATCCCCGCCCGAGGCGACAGTGGGTGACAGGGAGGAAAAGACTGCGCCGGGTCCGGCAGGGCCTGGCGGGAGGGGGCAGCCCGGGTGTGGCGGGGGTAGGGGTGGGGGTGGGGGTCCTGGAGAGATGATCCCAGCTACGGTGCGGCTTGGAACCCTCCGGTCCCCGCGCGGGCAGGGGCCGCAATTTCCGTTTTAATTAAAGTGCGGCCGCCTCGGCCCCCCGGACCCCGCCCCCGCCCCTCTTATCTTCCCATCGCAATAAAGTCTCCAACGCGCCCTGCCACAGCCAAGCGCACCCGGCAGCCCCCCGCGTCCCGCAGCCCGGGAGACGCGCGGGGGATGGGCCCTGGCCTCAAGCTCCGAAGGGGGCAGCCAGCGCGTTTCTTTTCCGCCTCCCGATTCTGCAAACAGTGGAGAGACGGGGTACCTGTCCCTCTTGGGACCCCCAGACCACAGCCCCCTCCCCAGAGCCTTTCTTCCAGCCCGCTCCCGCCCCTCTTATTGCTCACTCTCCTCCTCTCTCCTCCCCCTACCCCCACCCGGGTTCCCGTCTCCAGGCTGCGTTATCTGCATCTTCACTTTTAAATTTCCGCTTCCCTCCCTCTCGCCTGTCGCTGCGCTCCCGGCCTTGCAGCCGTTGCTCCCTTTATCTCTGCCCACCCCCGCGCCTTCTCCCTCCTCCTCGTCTCCCACTCTCTGCTCTTCCCTAGAGACCCGATCCCCTTCCCTGTCTCCCCTTGATTTCACCGGTTTCCTGCCTTTCTATGGTCCCAAGCTTCAGGCGGGGTCGCTGGGCATCTCCCTTGGCAACTTCTCCTGGATTACCCTCTCCTTTCCCTCCCCCACCCCTTCTAGGTCTCCCCTTGCCGTCTAGTCTCTGCCTGGTTTCTGTCCTGCTCCCATCTCCCTTCCATTTCCTTTTTCTCACCTCTCCTTTTCTTATCCATTCACTTTCTGCAAATTGGTTGTGGCTCGGTCTACTCCAGAGACACTGAAAGTCTATGCTGGCTTTTCTTGGTTGACTCCTGACTGCCCCTTCCACTTCCCCCTACAACTACTTCTCTCCCATCCTTATCCATTCCCTGTCATCCTAGTTTGTCCTCCGACCCCACTTTCACAATCACTCCCATGCTGATTAACCCTGAACCAGGCTGTAGCAGTACAAGTGTCAAGATAGGACTGGCTGGACATGATGGCACATGCCTGTAATCTCAGCAGCTCAGGAGGCTGAGGCAGGAGGATCATGAGTTCAAAGCCAGCCTCAGCAATGGTGAGGCACTAAACAACTCAGTGAGATTCTGTCTCTAAATAAAATACAAAAATAGGGCTGGGGATGTGGTTCAGTGATCCAGTGCCCCTGAGTTCAATCCTAGTACTGCCTCCCCAAAAAAGATAGGAAGGTGCACTGTACATGGCATCTCCTAGCTTGTGCAAAGAAGCTGATGTGGTTCTCTGGTGGTCTAGGGTTTCTGGATACCTCTGGGACTTCCTGGCTCTGAAGGAGGAGACTAAAGAGGGATTCTAGCCGAATGAAGATGGGACCCTGGGTCAGAAGCACACTTCTGTGGCCATGCAGTACCCTGTGACTACTGACAGAATTAGTTTATGGACCCTGGTCCTAGGCTACCTGTTTGAGGATGGCTGGGTTTCTGCAGTGCCCTGAACCTGTGCTTACTTGTTATAACTGCTGGAGTGTTCACTTTTGCTAGTAAATGGTACAAAGGAGCCAGAGAGGACTGTGGGAGGGCAGAGTCTTGGGGAGAATATGGAGGATCCCAGACCTCAGGGAATCCTAGGAAGATGGGGATAGGGGATTCAGGACATGTAAAACAGAATCTGGTGGAGCAAAGGGAGGGATTTGGATGTTTCCTGGGGATGAAACTCTCAACTCTACAGGAGAAGAGGACCTTGAAGGTAGGGCCAAGATCACATGACCTATTGTTACTGCTTTCCCCAACCACTATTGACAAAAGACAACAAGGAACAGAAGGAAAGAGCTGGGTGAGCTGGGAGGCATCAAGGTTCACCCACTTAATATTCTTAGCAGAAGGAAGAGGCATTCAGGGGATCTACCCAGACAAACCAGCTCTGAACTAGGCAAAGATCAGCAGTGTAGGCTCTGTTCCCAGCCTGACCAAAATCTTGTGTGCTGACGGGTGGGACACTGGCAAAAGTTTGTGTGTAGGAGGGTAGTTTCTCCCTCTTCACCTGGGTCTTGACCTCCTCTATCCTGTCCTGCTGCCAGTGCAGTCAGGGTTTAAGCCAGTGGAGAGTCCTTGGTGGGTTCTGTTCTACCCTGCTCCTACATGGCTGGTAAGTGATGGTGATAAGTGCTCCTACATGGTGCTGGTAAGTTTCTTAAGCCCCCACTCCCTAACTGCCAATGGATGTGGGGAGCAAAGCCTGAATCCTCAGTCCAGGAAAACCTAAAAGATCCATGCTGGTGAAGGCTGCAGCGATATTACCTTCACCAGCTTCTTCATTATACAAAACCAGTGCCTTGTTCATGGTCCTGCTCTTGGTTCCTGAAGCCATGTTGTTAATTCTCCCCAGTGACTACAGAACCCCCTGGATGGAGGGCAGCTCAGTTAAGTGCAGGCACCCAGATCTCCCTTTTTCCCATGGCTCACTCTGGGAAGCAGGCTGCTGGATTCTGAAGCCAATTTATATGGGGTTCTGGGTTCAACCCCTGGCACCCTCCTGTCCTGTTTGTGTGACTCTGGAAGCAGCCACATAACCCCTGCACTGTACTTTTGTCTTCTTATCTATAAAGTGGGAATTATAATACTTGCATATAGAATTAAGAGTTTCATATAAGATAATCTATGTGAAGTGTATAGATGAAATTCTATACTTCTACCCATTATTACTATTATCATTCCTCAAGGGGAGGGGAGGAGTCTTGACCATCCAGGAACCTCACACTTGTCCGAGGCCCATAGAAGTTTGGGGGTCTGCTGACACCTGAGGAGTTAGCATACAGTTCACATCAACCTCCACTTGGCCTGGATTTTACATTATGAGCCTGTGTTCAAAGCCTGGTTTTGTCATCAAGTAAATGAGTGATTTCATCAAATCTCAGGTCCTTCATTAGTGAAACAGATGAAAAATAGAGGGTATTAAGAAGATTCAACAGGGGCCACAAACTCTAGAGGCCACTCAGGTGTAAAGCAGAATCCATATCCCACCTATAAGTTTGTCCTTTAGTGCCTCAACCCAAAGACTCATGAGGGGCAAGGGTAGGAGGGCCCTACATTGACTACCCCAATACTCTTTCATAATACCACAAACCTTTTCAGGGGTTTCCCATTGCATTCATACACCAATCCCTTGAGACACAAGAGGCAGGAACCAATAGCCTCAGTTATGAGAAGGGAACAGAGGCTCATGGATGCTATGTGATTTGGCTCCAAATATTTTGACTTTTGTCCAGGGTTTTTTCCAAAGGAGCAATTTCCCGACTTTGCACAGCCCAGATTCAAGTCAGACTGCTCTCCAATATCACCCTGCCTTGTTTGGGCTCTGGGGTGCCCCTCCCTACTAGGGGCTGGACAACAGGAGAATCCATGCAGGAGAAGCTGAGAGGAGTTCAAAGAGCCTCATAAAATTCTGCTTATGTGGAGGAAGGGGTACCAGTAACTGTTGCAAAGGAGTCACTGGAGGAAAACCACACTGGAGCTAGCATCTCTGATGGCTGCTGCCATATTCAACCCTGTCGTGACTGTGAGTTTCTGCCACTATCCTAAAACTGAGTTGTTGAGGCTGACTTTGAACTTGTAATCCTTCTGCCTCAGCCTCCAGAATCACTGGGATTACAGGCATATGCCATCATGCCCAGTTTCTCCCAGAACTCAATGACTGAGGGACACTCTAGTTCACGGGTCCTCTGTTAATTATTCAAACAAAGGGCCTGGGGCTGGGTCCAGCCCTCTCACTAATTCCTGTCTTGAGAATGCAGGAAAGGAGACTATTGAGGGAGGCTGGTAGTATTCTCTGGCTGGGTGGGGAACCAGGGTGAAGATAATGGCTGAAGAGATAAAAGGTGGATGCTCAAGAGAAACCAACAGAACTTCCACATAGTCTTAAGGAAATTCTGCCTTGTGTGGTGGTACCTGGTCCCGAGTGTGGGTAGAGGCTGAAATCTAGCTAAAAGCCCTGCTGTGGGGGTATATCCACACTGTCCAGAGGATGACAAGTGTGCCCCCGGGTTTGCAGTCCCCTGACCCACCCTGGTAGGACTTTATCAATAAGAGGTATGAGAATGTATTTAACAGGATCCCCACAACTCTTACCAGCATCTCCTCAGCCCCCCAATGCCTACCCACATCCACCCTAAGCCCAGTTATGCTTGATAGTCCAGGATCCTGGGGCTAAGGGGAGGATCAGTTTGTAGCCCTCAGAGTGTGATGATGGAGATCACAAAGGAAGACACCAAGAAGGAGGCAAGAGGGGCAGGCAGGTTCAGGATTCTTTATTGACAGCCCTCTGGGGAGGTGGCTGGGGCTGTAGAACCTAGTGCTGGATTCTCCGAATGGACTGCAGCTGCCCAGTGTGGGCCTGTGTGCCAAATTCGCTGTAGTTACGGAACTCCCCACTATGTTGATCCCGCTCTAGTACGTACTGGTAGCCTCGGTAGCCTGGGTACTGGTAGGCCACCCACCTAGGCCAGTGAGGAAACCCTGGTGAGTAGGATCTGCTCCTGCCCCGACCCATGCCCTCCACTAGCAGTTCCCCTTTGCAGCTCCCAGCACCCTCCCCTCAGCTGCAAAACTAGTGCTTAACTTTCCCTCCCTGGATCTCTTTCCTGCCCCACACACTGCTCTGGGTCTTCCTATCACTTGTCCCATCCAGTCTTCTATTCCCAACCTCCATTGCCTCCTGCCCTCGCTCGCCCTCATTGTTCTGCTGGCTCTCATTCTTCACTCCCTCCTTCCTCCATCCACCCCCTTACTTCCCCTTGCCTCAGGTCCCCATGTCTCTTAGAGCCCCCACTATTTTCCCCCATCTCCTCCTTGATTCCCACTGCC